AAAAAAAAAAAAAAAAAAAAAAAAAAAAAAAAAAAAAAAAAAAAAAAAAAAAAACTCTTCCAGTTTCAGAAATGGTAACCTGAGGAGTATGTGGGGGCTTCAGTGATGTGGCGAGCTATGGGAGGTCCTCAGCTCCCAGCCAGTCTGTGAGAGCAGACAGGGCTCTGGAGGGAACAGGAGGAGCTCCTGGTCACTGTCACCATCACAAACTTAGGTTATGTAGAATGGATAGCCGAAAATTCCTTGCTTTCCCACTGATGCCAAACAGTTTGGAGATGAAGGGTAGAACACTGAGGGATTTTTTTTTTCTTTCAACAATCCTAAATTGACCAATGCAATTTTCTGGGAGAAAAAGGAACACCAAGGTTGGGAGATGAACTTAATTAGGACAATTCCATTTCATTTGGCCAAGTGTGTGAAGTGTAAATTTAATTTAAAGACTTTTATTTTATTTTATTTATTGAGATGGAATCTTACTTGTTGCCCAGGCTGGAGTGGTGCAATCTCATTCACTGTAACCTCTGCCCCCCCAGGTTCAAGCGATTCTCCTGCCTCAGCTTCCCCAGTAGCTGGGACTACAGGCGCGTGCCACCACACCCAGATAATTTTTTGTATTTTTAGGTAGAGATGGGGTTTCACTGTGTTAGCCAGGCTGGTCTTGATCTCCTGACCTCATGATCTGCCCGCCTCAGCCTCACAAAATGCTAGGATTACAGTGTGAGTCACCGCGCCTGGCCAAGATTTTTTTTTTTAATACCTGAGAACACATTAAGTATAACCTCCAAAATGTTCTCAGCTATCTTTCAAAAACAAAGCTTCCTGACCTCTTAAATACATAATTTTTCATGTTATAATTTTTTAATACTTGATCCCTAGTACAAATAACAATCATCAACAACTGTACTACCACAACTATCATGTACTAAATGCTCCCAATATTCTAGGCACTTAGCTAATAAGTGCCTAATAATGTTAGCTCATTTCATCCTCACAGTAACTCTATGAGGTGAATACAATTGTTATTATTACCATTTTACAGATGAGGAAAATGAAGCTCCAAGAGGTTAAGGGAATTCTCAGAATGAAACCTAGATATGAAATCTGTAATTAAAACCTGGATCAGTTTCCAGAGCCCATTAATTTATACCACCTCATCTAAAAATGGTAAGATAAACTTTTCAATATCACTAATAAAGAGCTTGCCTTTAAAATGTCCTTGTGACAGTGACCATTTAATAGTGTTTTAATAGCAATAAGTAGTCACCGTGTGCTTTAGTCTTATAATTTAAGGCCTATGCAGACATAATTGCTCTAAAGCACACAAAAACAATATTAAGGGTTATTCTCTGAAACAATGGGCATGGACTCTTATGATATAAAAGACAAAAAGCCTAGGGAACTGTCTGAAGTAAAGAAGAGTAAAGAGATAAAACAATGAAATGCAGTGCGTGCCTGTAATCCCAGCTACTCAGGAGGCTGAGGCAGGAGAATTGCCTGAACCCAGGAGGCGGAGGTTG